AAGGAAGGAAGGAAGGAAGGAAGGAAGGAAGGGTGTTCATTTCTTACAGATAATTGGTGTAAAACCCATTCCCCAATCACACAAATTTCTTGCTTGTAGATTTATATCTATCTTTCATAGTGCTCCTTTGTCCTGTTTATTTTTTACAATAACTCTGTGAGGTTGATTGAGCTGAGAGTGACTGACCCAAAGGTCCCTTGTGAGCTCCTGTGGCTGATGGGGGGTGGGTGCGTCTTAAAACTGGATCTCACCTATCCAGGATATCACATCTATACCATAGTGAATTTTCCATTTTCTCCCAAAATTCTTCTACTCTTTCCCCAAACAGCAGAATCAATCATTCTTTTATGACTGAAAAGTTTAGAGGAGTTTTCTATGGATCTTTTGTAAAATCAATCAATCAATCAATCAATCCAGACCACAATAGGAAAATGAAATAGATATTTATTGATCCACACATACAGCAAGCTATTATCAGACTAGGATAAATTTTCTCCATTTTACAGTCTGCTTTTATGGGGAGAATTCTGATCTTCTGAATTTCTAGACTGATTTTTTTTTTAAATTAAAAATCAATGGAAACTCCCTACATCAGATTCACAATCTCAGAAGAGATCTGCATTCGCAGTAGAACCTCATTTTTGTGGACTTAATTGAGAACAGGGGTGTCAGTTATTCATAAATGTCTATTCTATCAGACAGTGCTTATCACACCACACATTTGTATAATGTTGATATAACTAGGCAACTAACATACATAACTGAAGGAATGTGGTCCATTGCACTTGAAGTCCATTGTAGCAAAGTCTGGTAAATGCAAGATGTTCAATGTGGAAATTTTTGAATTTTCCAACTTTCCAAAGTAGAGTAGAAACATCTCTCTTTTTAAAGTTGAAAAATCTCAACACAGGACAGAAGGGTAGAATAAGGCATGGTGGTTTCTATTCAAAATCCTTGGGTTGCTTTTTAAATATTAAAGAAAAGAGAGAGGAAACTCCTCAGAACCTTGTAAAGCTTAGAAAGTACATATAACCCTTGTCTGGATGGAAAAACTAACTAACTAACTAACTAACTAACTAACTAACTAACTAACAAAACCCTTTCTCTAAATTTCTGGAAGCAAAAAACCCCAAATTTCCTCTGAGTGCAAATCATTTTCATCCCTGGCTTTTCACCACTAGCCTCTTCCAATAAGTTGCACGCTTCCATCAGTCAATGCCCATCACTCAAACATTTGTCAGAAGCATGAGCTAAGGTTCAGTGACTCAGTGTTTTCTTCTTGCTTCTGATGTTATACGGAATTGGACTTTTCTTACTCTTCTGGCATTGCAGGAGATCCCAGGGCTGATGAGGAAAACAACTGCCAGAAAAATGGCACAGCTGCCCTCGTACCTTTGGACAGCCCTGCTGGTCTGCTTAATAGCTTATTTACTTCTCAGCGTGTTCCCTGGGTAAATGGAGAAAGGAAATGGAAAAAGGCAAAGAGACTGGAATTGCTGCCTCCAAAATGCAACAAGAAACCACAGATGTTCTTTTTCGCTTTGTTAACACTTTCACAGTCTGGGGGAAGAAAAAGCCAGTTCCTTTCCAATTTGATCAAAAGAGGGGGGGCAGCCTTTTCTCATTTGGGTTTTTTTGGATGGTTTAGTTTGTAGTTTGTAAAACGGATTTGGCCTCCAAGAAGATGACTGGGGGTGCAGGATGAGCATCAGCAACATGTTGGGGATTTTGCTTAGTAGGCATTCTACCCATTTCAGTCCTTATTTTGGCTCTAGAATGCTCTAGGTTGGCCATGTTGCTATCAGATTCTGGGGATGGGGTGGGAAAGTACTCTGGGGGTGACAGAAATGGGGTTGGATAAGAGTGCACATGGCCTGGAGACACTGGGTTACCTACTCCCAAGTCAGAGAGAAGTAAGCAATGTGAATAAAGGTTGCGACTTTGTACTCACATCCCTGAGAGTAAGCATCCTGTACTCAATCCTACTTTTGAGCTAGAATTTTCATTCCCCCCCCCCCCTTTGGGTTGGTGGGAGCCTGTCTCACAGTGGTGGGAAACAGCATGACCTGGGATTATTAGGATTGGTCAAAGATGGACTCAACAGGCCAGCAAAAAAGGTTTGGGCTGCATGGAGCCAAGGGTCTGCAAGTTGCTGACCCATGGAATAAGGAAAGAAAATCACAGTGATACCAGATGGTTAGACTTTGGGGCAGGGTCAAAGATCCACGTAGCAAAACAGGCTGCTTCTCTCTCTCCCCCAGACTAAGCGGGGCCGGTTAACTATATTTTGAAGTGAGCTCAAATCTATTATCTACAAAAGAGTTTCTCATTCTGGTAAGAAGATTAAATCTAGAGTTCAGAATTATCTAAAGTCATCTTATTGCCTATGTCTGATGACATCTCATCATCCCTAGAATGAAATGTTTATAGAGAGTCTAAGCATACTACTAAAATGTCTACATTCAAGGACACGTCCCAGTTTCTTTACTTATATCCAAGAGTAATCAATCACAAGCTGTGGATTTAAGGGAGGGGGTCCTTGTTTTCCTGTGTCTCAATTTATTTTGAGAACTGCAGTGTGTGTGTGTGTGGGAACCTGTGAGTGATTTATGAGATATTCTCTAGTATTTGTCATTTGGGGGAAAAAATGGGTTCTTTTCTCACCTTGATAACCCCAAGGAGGTAAGGGAGTGGGAGAGACTATGTGCTTGTTGATTGATTTATTGTGCCTTTTGGGAAAAAAAAAAAAATCCCACAAAAGCAAGATGATGCCCTCAGGACTTCTTGTGTGGAAAGACAGGGTATCAGTTCAAGCCACAGAACAAAAGAGCTGCACGCTGCAGTGTTGTGTTTTGTAAAGCAACCGTTGACACCAGCCAGGCACCCATTGCGATGATCCTCAACAAAGCAGCAGGGCTGTGCTCATCCTTGAAGAAAGAGTCACTTGAAGCAGAGGGATGTTTTAAGCCTCTACTGACGAAGCCAGATGCAATTTATTTACATGTGTGAGGACACCACAGAGAAGTCTGTGCCTCTTGCATTCACTGATGTGATTGAAAGGGCAGTTGGCCATGACTTTACAGACTTCAAAATGTGTTAAGCTACAGTAATTCTGCTGTATTTTATGGGCCACCTTGCTTAGTCTCTTCAGTGGAATCCTTGACATCTCCTACCCACCCACAACTTCCATCTCCCTGGCCCTAATTCCTGCCAAAGAATGCCTGATGCTCACATAGCCTTCACACACAATACAGTGCACGGAGCCACTCTTAACAG